CAATGTAATGAACAGTAAGGCTTGTCCCTATTTTGTTCTGCCTGCCAAACATTTGTTGTTACAGTATTAAGTGCTACGTAAGGAAGAAGACTCCCGGATATCACGCTGTGAGGCCAGTTGACTGGTTTGAGTTGCTCATTTTTCCACATCCCTCACACCTTTAAGAAGTCATAGCAGTAACATCAAAAGCAATCAGTTGAAAAAACTACGTATGACAATGAGCCCTTAAAAGAAAATTCAGATGCATGACAGGCATACATGAAGCACCAAGTCCCTCCAAGGCCCTGACCCAACCCCTGCTGAAACACCCAGGAGTCTAGTTCATGATGTGTAAAGAAACGAAAGGCATTCAGGTATTAACCTTTGTTGTCCAGCTTGTTTCAACCCCCACCCTCACACTGCACTGCTGAAAACCTATGCCATGAAGCATACGTGATCCTGACCCTCCCAGAAAAACCTTGCCACAAGGCCACCTCTCATACAGGTGAGGGTCTCAGCGTCCAGATCAGTGGGTCCTGACATGTTGCTGCTGGTTAGGCCCAGTCTGGGCAACACAGTTCTTGCCCCTTTTCTTCCTCTTCTATTTTTGCACTTGGAACACTGCTTTCCCGAAAGCCTATTTTAGTTTCCACACACTCTTCTCCATCTCCTCCCCCCACTGTCTTCCTGCCTCTCACAGCAAATGAATCAAAAACCAGTTTAGGAATTGGTCAAGATTAAGAAGTTCAGATGAAAACACCGCTTGCCAGGACAAGCCACTGCAGGTCGGTCCTGGCTCTCATCTCCCCCGGGAACCCTGGCCCCCATCGTAGCCATGGGCACCTGCAGGAGGCATGGGCTGTCCTTGCACTAAAGTCCTGCTGTACACACACTGTAAATCCAGTGCTTACCAATGTGCCAGATACACTGGGTGCGTACGCACATCCTCAAAATGGCTCAACTGGCTGCAGAGTGCAATATATATTGCTGAGCTGGGAAAGGCTGTTCCCTAGAGGCCCTCTTTAAGCCAAGGGGCCTTTGTGATACTAGAGATCAGATATAAAGGATCACGAAACAAGACACATGTCAGAAAAGTGGTATTTTAATTCTTCTGCTTCCAAGCATGCCCAACTAAAGTTTCATACCTCAAGGATAATCGCAGTAAATTTGCAAAAAGTAAAAAAAAAAAAAAATAATTGTAAGATGTATCTTAAATCTTTTTTCCCCTCAATTACTCTATAATTGTTCTTGTGATCAGAAACAAAATCATGAACGAAACAGAAGCTTCCAAGCTAATCAACTTGAGTAATCCTGTTGTTCCGAATTCCCATAAATCAGGGGGGGCTGGGAGAGTATCCATGTTTTGCTATCACAGGACAGACGACTGGAACAAAGAATGCCACTGTAGAAATGGAGAGATCTATATGCTGAGAGAATCCTGTAATACGTTGCAGCTCATAAGGAGCTGTAAACCACAGAAGCCCTTTTTCTCACGATGATCTGGAATAAGAGACAAAGAAAGGACAAGCCCGAACAGAAGATGAATATACGTTAGCTACCAGCAGCCTAAAATAAATGTCAAGTACCCAAACCAACCACGGAATATTTTGCATATGACCTGTTTCTGCAAAACTCAATAAAATAGTTCTTCATGACAACTCAACTTCAATAGTATGGTCTCACAAAATTTTATTATTGCTATTTCCAACCTCAACTAAAGCTTTCAAGGCTTCCTGTTTCACACCACAGTAAAAGTAATTAAAAACCCAATAAGCTTTATATTTCCTCTAAACCATTGCAGAGACCTCCTACATATGTGACACACTTCAATCACCCTAAGCACTACTTCCCTGTTGAAGTCCTGTAACAGTTAGCTGAAGAGGAAATTATTTCTTTGATTCTCATTTCCTTCCTTCACTCCACCTTTTCCTTCCTCTCTCTCTTCCCTCCCTTCTACAACAGGAAGAACAGAAAAGCAGAGTGGGGGTTTTATTACAAAATGATGGAAACATTTGAAGGGCCTTAGAATGTTCCCAGACTCACTAGAGCTCTCCTAGAGCAGTGGTGTCCAACCTTTTTTGATGGTGCAAAAAGTAGTTTTTGAGCACGCACCTCCTAAATATGTGTATTTATTTATAAATTATATACATGTCCCACTGTACTACTATATTATACACATTATAAAACCCCCACAAAAATAGAAATAAAAAAGGATGAGAACGATGGAAGAATCACCACTAGAACAGCTACAGAGCACTAAGTCTCAGGAGTTTCGTTACTGAGTCTGGTAGAAAAAAAAAAAAGAGTTGGTCCAAAGCTATTATAACGCAGCTATAGTAAGACGCAGTTTTGTTCCTCACTATAACCTATAAATTGTGATCAGTCAAGGTGCTGAACATCAGCAGGTAATAATCTGTGCCTCCTTTTAAACCTCATTTATGAATAAAGGTTCTCCACTAGATCAAATTCTTCCACTAATGATACTTAACAGCCTCTCTCCCCTCAAGTATTTCTACTTCTGGTACCAGATAACTTAAAATACCATAGCACACAAAGCTTTGCTTTAGAATAAACTACTAGATGATAGTCTACATCCTCCTATTCGTGGGTGTATTCAAAGAGCACAAGATAGAAATGATGCAGAGTTCACTGAACAGGCTTTACAGTATTTTCAGTCTTACTGCTGACATCTTGCCTTCCCCAAGTTTATGGTTTTTGGTGGTATTGAAAAATTATTTTTGGGGGTATTAAAAATAAGCCACTCATACAAGAAAAACCCCAACCTTTTTCTCTTTGAAAGCAGATAAACTCTAATCATTATTTGCTTTTCTAAATCACAGCTACCAACACTGCTTGTCCCAACTCTTTGGCAAAGCTACAGGGCTGCAAGAAACAGTGCACTCAAAAGCTGTTGGCCTTGGAGCACACAGAAGCAATCTCCACTATTCAAAGACTATTCTGTGCTCTCTTATTTATATTGGTGGCTTAAAGATGTTTAGCACTTAACAATACATAATAAAGACAAAGGCTTAGAGCCTCAAGGAGTTTATACAACTTTAATCTCCCACAATTGCCACCATGTGGCTGGGCTGGCACTAAGCAGAAGCACATGGAGCCTATACATTAATTGCTATGCAAATAAAAGGAGTGGGCCATAAGTTCAAAACAGACCAAGGAAAGCTGCTAAAGCATGGAACCTTTTTGCACAGGGTGCTGGTGAAGATAGAAGCTTGTGCCTTGAAGCTCTCTAAGCTCTACCCTCTGCCCAGCTTGAGCCAAAGAATAAAAAAAGCAAATGAGAGCTTTCAGCCTTGCACTCCGGTGAAGGTGAAGACCATGCCCTCAACACTCCTCTTAATCCAGGAAAACATAACCCTACTACCAAAGCCCTGCAAGTAGTGTTGGATTTTTTAGGCCCCCCAGAAGCTGTTCATAGCCCTTGTAACTGTAGATGCCACAATTTACTTCCCCCCCTAATCCAGAAGAAATAGCATACAAACAATGCCAAAACACTTTTGCCCTGAACACCAGGGGTAGAGCTATCTACAGAAAACATACATGGCTCTCATCTCTGCTTCATCTTTCTTACCATTCAAGAGAGCCCTTTGGTTTTGCAAATATACAAGAAAATGAGCATTCTCTGCTTTCTCAGCCAGGTCTTCTGCTTCCAATCTGCCCTATTTCTTGCTAGGAAATGATGTTTTGCTCTCCCTTTCTGCTTCTGTTCTTTCAAAAGATGACTGAACTCCTTGGCTCAGTAACTATTCCTGGCTATCAAGGTCCCAATTAGGTCATTTGACAATCAATGACAATATCATCTGTTGTTCCTGTTATGAGCAGGCTCTGCTCTATTAACTGCATCCTTATGATCAGGTCCACCCTAAAAGGACACACAATTTATGTAAGATAAATTTTATCAGGAACACACAACGAACTTCCTAAATGCCCCAAACCCATTATGGACATACTTCATTCAAACATAATTTTCCAGTGATAAATACATACTCTTAAATTAAGTGGGATAAAATGTTTAAATAGATAATACCAGTTCTCTCTTCCCTGAAAGCATAGATCCCCGTTCTCAATATTCAGTCGTTATAGTATCTGGACAGGTTTCCTGTTTGTTGTTTAAAAGTCATTGGTGAAACACAGATCACAGTGCAGCTGGTAAAACACCGATTTGACAATCACATTGACCCATGCTTGCTAGAGAATAAAGCTGAGAATTCTGTGGTGATAAAGTTAGAACCTAATTTTCACAAGATGTCACAGTATTGCAGCTACATTTTCACATTATTTTATTCTAACAGCACAGAACACATCTGTCTTCTGTTGCTTTATGGAAAAAAACGTTTACATACTGACAGATAACCTAAAAGCAAACACTTATTTTCCAAGTCTGTATATTCTCTATCCACAATGCAGGCTGCTGTCATACCAATACCTCAGCATGTAAGGTGAACAAAGGAAAAGATTAAATATATAGCAATACAGTTTAACCACAAGGTTGCAATCTTTTAACCCTATCTTATTAATGCATCTATCTGCCTGCATCTGTAAATACGTTCCTTTTTTTTTTTTTTCTTTACCTGTAGTTGCTGGGGGTCATTGAATGGGGAGAGAAGGAAAATTTTTCTCTATTGCAAATGAAACTAAATCTACAGAACAGCATAATCTGTGCATGAAACAGCAAAGATAGGAGTTACGTGAAACCCTTGCTTGCAAGAGATTTAACCCATTTTTAATACCATGAACCTACTAAACATAAAGCACATTTTTCTTTACCCACAATTATTGCTTTTTCAGTTATGTGCAATCAAGTCACGTGCATATCATATAAAATGACACAGGACTCATTTAGAGGACTTGATTTTATGTGCAGGAACCAAACATGATACCAGTTGTTTTAGCAGTATATCCCCTAATGCCCAGATGTCTCCATGAAACTGCACTGGTAGTAAATTTATAATAGGCAACACAAACTACTGCAGAACATAAAAATTAACCAAAGTTATACTTACTGTAACCTGGGAAGCATCCATGAATTGTAGGCCAAAGTAATCTGTTTCCACAAGGTCCAAATGATATACAATCTGGTCGAACAATTCCTGTCCCTTTGCATTTTTCTGTAAGAGAAAAGAAAGTGGGGTTTTTTTGTGGGTGGGTGTGGGTTGGTTTGTTTGGGTGGGTTTGGGTTAAGTTCAAGTGGGGGAGAGGAGATGCACAATGGAAAATAATATCTAAATAGCAATTCTATGTATTCTAGAGATTTGTACTGACATTTCTTTTTATCTTCTTCAAGAAAGATAAAGTGACAGGTTGTTCCTGCCTGCAGCTATTCCAACAGCACTGGACTTCGCTCTCGAAGAAAACTTTCAAAGTTTGCTGTAACTCAAAGTGTAGGAGCGAAAGGAAAGGCTGATGTCCTGTAAGCATCCTAAGTCCCAGAGCCAACCTTTTAAACCCCAGGAAGCCAAATTCTCCAGTAAAAGCTTGCTTGACACACTGCCTGAAATCTGCTGTTACCACATAGCAACTGCAGTCACACAGTGCCACACCACCACTCAAGCTGCAAAATAAATTCTGGACAGCTTGAATACTTGAAGAGCACTGTGAGGAAAGTTAATGGGATTTGATAAGAATCTTTCAATAATGTTGCTAACTGCAATCACCTTTACAGCCTTTAAATGAAGAAACAAAAAAAGGCAAAAAAAAAAAGCTGCAATTCTTACTCGGCATGCCATCTGAAACACATAGGCATGGAGAAAATATTCACCCCAATCATGGGCTACAGGTAGAAAAGTTAGTCCATCTTAAAGCTAGGCTGCATTGGGCTGTGTACTTGTTCTGAGGTTAAGCCAAAAATTTAGACACCCGGTGCTTCAACTTCAAACACTAGAAGCAGCAAAGCTTGGAGGTTACAGGTGGGTAGGAGGAAGAGGGAATAACAAAGCAATTTTTCATGCAAGCCCTGTTGTGTTACTTGGGGAAGGAAGTTTTCAAGGTCCTGAGCAAAAAACCCCTTGGCTAAAAATACAAAAGATGATCATAAATCTCAGTAAGAACTGAAGCTACAGTTGTATTTTATACAGGGAACTACAGATCTGGAAACACTTTTGTGCCTGCTGTCCCTCATACACCTCTGAGGTTTGGGGTTTTTTTGTTTTTTGTTTTTTTTTTAATTTTTATTTTTTAAAGCTGTACCATATTAGGCATTCCCGCTTCATCCCAAAATGTAGCAAAATTCACTAATTCCAGCTGAAGGCGAGCTAAACAGTATTCAATTCCTTTAGTATAGCCTTCTGCACAAAAGCAGTGATTATAACATGCAGAACTCCTGTCCAGGATTCCAAGCTGTCTAAAATTTGTCTTCTCCAGCAAAAGACAAGATGAAGAGTTTCATCCCTCCATTTTTCCAAGAAGGTCAAGCAAGCTTAGGTGTAGGTAAGCAAATTTTAAGTTGAGGTCTTTGTGGGTTTGAGGGGTTTTTTGGTGGTGGTTTTTTTTGTTGGTTTTTTTTTTTTTTTTTTAAACTAACAAAGCAGAAGCACAGAAATAAAATCTTACAAAATTTCAGGAACAGTGTTAGGAGCTCCATTAAAACAAGCTGCATAAAAACTTAAAACAAGCATTAAATTATCATCCTAAGATAATGCTTTATTATTTTGGGGGGCAAAAGGTAATATTCTTAATCGAAGTTGAACATGCTATTGAAAACAGAAGAGAATACAACAGCTTCTTAAAACACTACATTGCTAAGAAACCATCATCTTTAGATGTACAATAATTGATATAAACCAAAGTTTGCCAAAAAGTATCGAGAACATATTTTCTCATATGCTGTAAATTCAGCACTTGTTAAAAGAAGTCAAACCAACACATAGCAGAATTTAAACTGATTCTGCTCAAATGAGGGAGGAGAAAACCCTCCAAAGCAATAAAAAAAAAACAAATGGCAAGACACAAGGAATTCACAAAACTAGGAAAAACTGATCTGATGCCCTATGATCACTGTATTCCTGGCTGCTTGCTTTATGACATTAACTACCAGTATGTTTATCTTCCACTGCCACACACCCAATAGAAACCAGAGACAGCACACTCCACCTTCTGTACCCAAATAGTAGTTAATGTTCAACAGATGTGGTACACGGAGAACAGCTCTGCACTGCACGGCAAGACCATAAAACACAGTATTACATACATAGCTTACAGGAAATTATAACTTTTAACTTGTCACGAAATGAGCTTACCCAACAACTCACACCACCTAGATGATAAAGCTGCTGTGGCCAACAAATTGCTGACAAAAAAACTTTCCTTGAGATGTCACAGTAAAGGGGGAGATAAAAGTGACTAACTCCTTTCCTCCACTAACAGTAAAGGATGACCTGCTCTCCCTTCTTCTGCCTCTTCACCGCCTGACAAATCCAGGGAGTCAGATCGCAGACTGTAAGTTGGTACCTATGCACTGAATGAAATGGGGGGTATAGGCAAAATAGAAGGTTTTTTTTTCTCAGAAATTACATATGCCCACATGCATCAAAGTGGTCTCTTAATGGAAAAAATGTCCATATTGTGAGAAAGTTCTGATCTGCATGGTCTTTTCCTCCTCCCCTCCTTCTAGATAACACAAAAGCTTAAATAAAAAAAAAAAGCTTCCTCTATCAAAACCTGGTACTACATAAATAATATGAAACTGATTTCATACAAGAAAATTTTCATAGTAGTTCAGTTGGAATTCAACAAATCACACTTTCTCTACAGACCCTCAACTTTTGCATATTTTTGGAAAGTACACTAAAAAAAAGCAACCTTAAACTAGGAATATTTTACAGTCCTACCTTGCTAGACAGATGGTTCAGAACTGTCAGATGTAAAAGACCCGCATAACTTCTGTTTAAAAAAAAGGAGTATATGGCAATAAAATATATATATATACATACTATTATATACAGTTACTGCTTTGTTGTTACGAAAGTCATTATAGTTAAGAACAGTGATGTAAAGAAAGCTGCAAAATCTTGCTTGATTTTAGAGGGTTTTGTTTGTTTGTGGTTTTTTAAAAACCTAACAATTAAACCACTGCCAATTTCTGCTGGAGTGTTCCTTGGAACCAAGGAGAACTTGCATGAGCACCGGGAAACCTCACAGGCAAACGCTTGGGGGGCGTTTCAGATGTCCAGCCTACAAACAGAACTAAAGCTGGCACCCAAGGCTGAATTACACTTGCAGGTTGGGAAGCTCCATGATAACGAGCAACTGCTTAGAGAAAGGAAAAAAAAAAAAAAAAAGACCAGGTATTTCTCATGTCAGTCAGCCCTGTCCTGCCTGACAGTCATGCCGGTTTCCTCCACTCTGTATCCTGGAAGCCCTTCTCAAGTATCATCCCCCCCTCTCCATGTTTTCTGTGGGACCATGAATCATGGCATCCAAGAAAATTCTTACATTTAATGAAGACTTATTGCTGGGTCCTCCTACAAGGATGCAAATCGGCATGGGTAGAAAGCACCTTGCGGAGCCAAAGCGACAGCTGTATGGCCCACATTTCAAGCAGACTAAATTTTTAGCTGCCAAAGACCTCCAGTCTCAGGGAATCTACAGAAATTCTTGTCAGCTAAAACCTGACAAAACAAAGATTAACTTCTCTAATTAGAAACTCTTCCAGACTTGACATGCAAACAGGCAAGAGGTTTTAACATGCTTTTGGTGGGCATGAAGGAAAGGGCAAATTCATCCGCCAGGGACGTTTTACACCAACTGGCTCTGGCCAAACAGGCTGATCAGTGTTGATTTTAGCTATTCCAGAATTGTTTGAAAGGTTCTGCCAAAGGGCATGAAAACGGTACACAGAAGCCAGAAAAGTCCCAGTTTAGTGCAGATACAGCGGACTAATGCCACTCATCAGTCTCAGAGCACATACAGCAAAGCTGGAGGACTTCTGCGCGCGCCTTCCCCAAACCAAAGTGCAGAATGTAGCAATCAAGCACAGCGCATTATGTGAACCCAAGTGGAGTGGCTGAACTTGTTGAGTCATACTAGAGAGTCCAGATTGCAAGCATTACAAACGAGCTACTAACAGATTTCAGGAAGAGCTGAAGTTGTGCTTGGGAAAACAACCCGTAGAGTAGGCCAGGAGTACGTGAAATAGCCTACAAGTTGACAAAGTAACAGGAGAAAAAAAGAAAATAAATAACTGCCAAGAAAAAGGCCACAGCCAATTAACTGTAATGTGCCCCAAACTGAATAGTGAGTAGTAGCAGAAATGAGTAGGTAGGACACATTTAGCTTCTTTTTCTAAATACAAGATTATGTATTCTGCAATACATCAAATATTTTTGCAGAGCGGGTTGCTATGATCTCATGGTCAGACACCAGGTTTTAGCTTCTAGTAAGTTAGTAAAGGAGCGTTTGCAGCTAGCAATCAATCCTCTGCTCTGCAGGCCTGATACTGCTCTATTCCAATGGCATCAGCATTTCCTCTCCTGCCCTAGAACAGGGCAGCTCAGTGTGTTCTGCTTGGTCCTCTTACACCTGAACTCTTATTACCTCATTTTTCAAACCCACAACTAAGGCTTTACCTGACGGCCATACTGCTTAGTAGCAAGAACTTGCTTTGCCTTTAGCAGTCATTGGCAATGTTGTTTCCCAGCATTTCAGACGTACTACAGGCTAAGCATGCGTAAAGCCATCTGGGCTTCTTATTAGCCTTGACTCCTGGTGCTCGTTATCATCTCTCCTTTAACTTGCTTTCTTCTAGATAGTCAAGCCCTCAGTTCCTCAAACATATTCACCTGTACTGAAAGAAAGCAGTATTTGCATAATTTTAAGCATAACAATGCAAC